TGCTGTAAGTGGTACTCAGCAGCATTGGTAATGTACTCAACGTCTATGATACTTAATACTTAGCCGTAAGTAGTACTCACTGGTTCACTCAGTACTCAGCCGCGCACTTTGCTGTAAGTGGTAATCAGCAGGATTGGTAGTGTACTCAACGTCTATGATACTTAGTACTTAGCCGTAAGTAGTACTCACTGGTCCACTCAGTACTCAGCCGCGCACTTTGCTGTAAGTGATACTCAGCAGCATTGGTAATGTACTCAATGTCTATGATACTTGGTACTTAGCCGTAAGTACTCACTGGTCCACTCAGTACTCAGCCGCATTGGGTACTAAGTTGCTGACAGTAATGTACCCAGTTTTAGCTGAAAGTAATGTACTCAATGTCTATGAAACTTAGTACTTAGCCGTAAGTGGTACTCAGCAGCATTGGCAATGTCTATGACACTTAGCACTTAGCCGTAAGTCGTACTCAGTACTCAGCAGCATTAGGTACTAAGTAGTTGACAGTGATGTACTTAGCCATAAGTAGTGCGCAGCATACTTAGCCCTAAATAGTACTCAGTTTTTAACTTTTTTATGATACCTAGTACCCAGCAACACTGGTGATACTTTGTACTTAGCCGTAAGTGGTACACGACATACTACTTAGCCGCAAGTAGCACTCAGCAACATTGGTACTAAGTAGCTGTATACGGTAATGTACCCAGTTTCTATTGTACTTAGTACTTAGCCATAAGTAATAGTACGCAGCATTGTTGCTGCGTACTATAGTTAGGTGTACGATACATAGTACTTGACCACCGCGCTACTCCATTGCTGACAAAGCATGAAGCTTGTGCTTCTGTTTTATCCTTTTTCTTCCTCGGTTTATAAATGCATGCAATTATGTTGGTGGTCGAGCATTGAACTACCTTCTTCACCCGAATTTAACGCCCGGTCATTATGGCCGTATTCGGGGCAATTTTCTGTCCAGATGCAGGGATAATTACCAGCCGTTCTATTCGTGTGAAGACGGTAGTTGTCACTGAATGAAACAGTCCAGCTCAGTGTCCAAACGGGATGAACCATTTGACGCAGAATAGACCCCCGAGCCCCTCAGCAGCAACGACAACCCTTGAAACGGTTTAGTAGTAAAACTCCTAAACCCTCACACTAGCCACCGCAGACCCCTCAACTCCGAAAAGACCCCTCAGCCCCTCAGCAGGGACGGGCCTCTCACCGGGACGATACCTGGGACTGATACCGCAAATTAGGGCCCGGTCCCTGTATCAGTCCCAGGTATCGTCACTCCATTGAACCTCTCAACTCTGAAAAGACCCCTCAGCCCGTCAGCAGGGATGGGCCCCTAAACCCCTTAGCAGCAACCCCTAAATCCCTCAGTAACGACCCGTCGACCCCTCAGCATCAACCCGGGGTACGGCATCAACCCTCGCCTCGGCATCGACCCTGGGCGTGGTGACTCCATCAAACCCTTCAACTCAGAATAGACCCCTCAAGTGCCTCAGCAGCAGAGACCCCTTAACCGCTTAGCAGCGACTCCTGAACCCCTCAGTAGCAACCCGTCAAGCCCTCAGCATCAACCCGGGGTACGGGGTACGGTCGCTCCATCGAACCCTTTAAAACCGCAAGTACACAGCCGCAGCCATGCAGAAAGTTTTTGTCGCCACAAGCAAAACTCGGAGGGGCCACGCGGCGCGGAGCGCCGTTGAAAAAACAAAAATCGGCGGCCTCCAAAGTGGTGCGGGTTTCATGCTGACACCCGCGGGCCAATGTATGGTGTACTGCTGCTTTATAACTCAGAATAGACTCCTAAGTCCCTCAGCAGGCAGAGGCCCCTAAAACCCTTAGTACCAATCTCTAAACCCCTTAGTAGCAACCTCTAAACCCCCCAGTAGCGACACATAGACCCCTAAATATTAACCCTTGGTATGGTCACTCCGCCGGAACTCTTTTAATTCAGAATAATAGACCCCTCAGTCCCCCAGCAGTGCAGACCCCTAAAGGGCCTTAACTACACCCCTTAGCAGCAACCCCTAAACCCCGCAGTCGCAACACGTAGACCCCTCACTATCAACCCCAGGTACATTCACTCCATCAAGATTTGTAACTCAGAATAGACCCCTTACTCCCTCAGCAGTGGAGGCCCTCGAAGGGCCCTAAAAAACCCCTTTAGCAGCAACCCCTAAACCACTTAGCAGTGACCCGCACACCCCTCAATATCAACGCTCAGTATGGTAAGTCCATCAACCTTTTGAGTCGGAATAGACCTCTAACGTCCTCAGCAGTGGAGGCCGCTGAAGGGCCTACCGATCACTAAACCCTTCGTGGCAACCCCTAAACCCCTCAGCAATGACCCACAAACCCCTCAATATCAACCCCTGGTATGGTTACTCCATCAACCATTTAACTAAGAATAGACCCCTACCTCCCTCAGCATTGGAGGCCCCTGAAGGGTATAAAGATCCCTAAACCCCTTAGTACCAACCCCTGAAACCCTCGGCAGGGACCTGCACAGCGCTCGATATCAAACCCTGTTATGGTTACTCCACCAAACCTTTTAACTTAAAACACACCCCTAGCCCCCCCCCCTCTCAGCAGTGGAGACCCCTAAATAAAGGGCCTGCAGTTCCCTGACCCCCTTAGTAGCAATCCCTAACCCCCTCAGCAGTGGAGACCCCTAAAGGGCCTGGCCCTGTAGTTCCCTGACCCCCTTAGTAGCAACCCCTAACCCCCTCAGCAGTGGAGACCCCTANGCCCTGTAGTTCCCTGACCCCCTTAGTAGCAACCCCTAACCCCCTCAGCAGTGGAGACCCCTAAATAAAGGGCCTGCAGTTCCCTGACCCCCTTATTAACAACCCCTAACCACCTCAGCAGTGACCCGTACACCCCTCGGTATCAACCCCTGGTATGGTCATTCCATTCCATATACATGGCAATCTCTGTATCATTAATGGACTTAGCCTTTTCTCTTACACTTAACTCCCTCAGCATATGCTCATCGACACCATCAGAGTAGACATGTAGACATTCAACATCATGACGTAAATATCCCAGTGCAGCCACAAAGTTTCACACCCGAGAGCCGCATTCGGGCCACGTTCTTGTCGCACAGATCCGCAATGTGCACCTTGTCCATCAGCAGGCTCCACATTCACAGTGGGCCTCTTTTATCTTGTTCCACGTCCCGCTCATCTGGCACTTCAGTCCCACATCTTTATGTCCCACATCTGCTGTCCCACATTTTTATGTCCCCGCTTTGGCAGTGGCATGGAATCATCTTCTTCTGCTACATGTTCATGTTCCACATCTTTATGTCCCACATCTGCTGTGGAACCATCTTCTTGTCCCACGTCTGAAGTGGAGGGGAACCACCCACTTTCTCGTCCGATGCGTGCGCTGAAAGTGCAGCCATCTTTTTTGTCCGACATCCGGAGTAGCCACCATACTCTTCTCTCACTTCTACAGCTGGACTTGTCTTTCTTGTCTTCTCTCACATCTGCACTTCAGTCCATCATCCTCGTGTCCAATACCTGCACTCTGATCATCCTCTTTTCCCACCTCTCTCTCTCTCTCTCTCTCTCTCTCTCTCTCTCTCTCTCTCTCTCTCTCTCTCTCTCTCTCTCTCGCTCGCACGCGCGCGCGTCTCACTCTGCAGTCTGATCATCCTCGTGTCCCATATCTGCAGAGAAATCACCCATCCGTGGGACCCTGTTGTCCCACGACTGCCAGTCGGACCGTGTTGTTCAGGTCCCACTGGCAGTCGTGGGACAACAGGGTCCACACTTGGTTCCTTTCCGTCATAATTTCGGACACTACATTCTATTTTGGACGTTTTGGGCAATTTGGGCAACATCGGGACATGCTGGGAGACTCTGAGGGCATACTCGCACTAGGACTTTCCAGGATGTCTCTGATCACAATAACAAAGGGCCGTGGATGTATCTGACCGCAATTAAGGCCAAAGTCCTACATGAGTATGCTCTGAGACATTTTGGATGCCTGGCGAGATGGCTCGCGTATTTTGGGAGACTCGCATTTCGGACATTTGCGATAGTCCCAGTATTTTGGTCGTTTACGGGGCTTAGGATTTTAATCTGGGACCATTTGGGACCATTTAGGCCGCTTTTTCAGCGCATTTAGGAAGACACATTTCCGGACATCATGAAACGAATTGCTTTTGACTCATGCCACTCCACACCCT